TATTTGTCAAAGATGAGTGCTAAACTTTGTTCAAAGGCGAACGGAAAATCATTAATTTTCCCTTAGCATTGGTGACTCAAACAACAAGAAAATTGAGAAGACTCCATAAACATTGTAAGAGATGAAGTAGTTTCCCTTGATACGTGGACTGAAGAATGCCAAATAAGAAAACTAAGTAACCAACTATTAGTTACCTGCAAGTTATGATTACAGTTTTCTCCCCATCCCAACTTGCGTTTTCAGACAATATTCGAGCATGAGCGGTCACGTCTTGAGGCGATAACTGTGGCAGCTCATTTGGTTGTGTGTGCATCCTGTGAATATCGCTTTTTTGAAAGTAAAATTGTACATCACAAAAGAACCCTAATAAATGGGAAATAGCAATAAATAAAATTGGATTCATAGTAATGGAAAATGTAAGTAAAACAAATACAAGCTCACCATCCTAGTGGCTCCAAGTCCTTTAGCAACTCATGCTGTGGAAGATGAGAAGGAAATTGCACTTGTTGATGGTTTCCTGTTTGAGGCACCAATACAACACATCGGATTTCCTTAACCTGCGGATTGTCAGCAGGTGAAACACCGTATAAGAAGCCGCCAATCTGAAACATAAAAATGTAGTAAATCAAAAAGAAGTCATCGGCAGTCAAAAAAAACCAAGAATATTGCGCGTTTTCCTGGGCTGCCCCTTCCACTTCAATGAAAAAAATCGAAACTACACTCCACTTGTATACCCTTTTTGACGCCTTGTTCTACGAGTCCTCTGACGTATCAATCATACTCTAGACGTGAACATGATCTATCAAATGCTCATACTAGCCGTTCTGTTAAATTTTATTCCATATACACCTCGAGATTGAACCAAATACACTATCCCTCACGACGCACGATCTTGATGCTCTCGGCAAGCTTTAAGCAGCTGGTAAGTGAAAATAACCTATAAAACCACAACTATGTAACTTGTTTCTTGAAATGCTGACCTGTGTTCTGAGATCCGATATAGTGATAAACTTCTTAAGAACATTCTTTGGAAGAATGTATGTGAATCCTGTATCCTTGACATCATCAGAGCTCACATAAATATGTTGCGTTCTAAATTAAATAACTACAAACTACTAAAAGAATCACGGACTTCTTCCAAGGTATCTACATGTCAAATATCGCTATGCAAACAAATCTATCTACCTCAAATGCAGATTCGTGGCGGAAATGGCGCGAATCCTCCACTCTGTACGACTGGCGAACGTAGCAGCTTCATAATTGGAGGTCGTCGCAGTGATTATTTCGTCTCCGTGCTTGTTAACCGTGCGAGTAGTCGTGGCCGTAACCTTG